GTAATATTACGGTTTTCGTAGGTGTTGGAATAGACCTTATATTGTTAAAAATAATTTCGGAGTAGGTATATAGGTTTTACAATGAATTGAAGCGAGTGGTTTTAAAATCTTCAGTTAAAAATGCAACAAATAATTTCTCTCCTGGAAATAAGTATTGTGGTTCCTTTTTTGTTTTTGATTATAATGGGGCTTCATTAACTATATCTATGTCACTAATATAATAACTAGAAATGTCCAAAAAAAAAATATATTTTATTCGTTAATCGGTTTTTAATTCTCAAACGGTTCTTCAAGAATTCTAGATATACACAATCTACTTGACCATCTGTTAACAAATGACTGTAATTAGATTTTATCCTATTAAGAAATTAAAATTAAATATGTAAATTAATTCAAATTAATTAATGAGATTATTATTAATTGATTTTTCTTATTATTTTTTATAAAACCACCTCTGCTCATAAATATTAATGAAAATCAGTGGCAAAAATTTTATAAAATTTATTTTTAAACCAACAGGTCATTGTGTAGGTAGGCAACATAATGGCCGTGTTCATCGTCGTCAAACATGTTGTAATGCTGAGTAAGCGGTGACGATGAACTGTCAACCGCTGCAGCGCTTTTGGATAATCATAAAAGCATCATAAAAGCGAAAATAAACTTGCTTTTATGCTTTAAAAGCATTAACTTGACCTTGAACCCCTGTCAAATCCGTCTTTTGGCATTTTGTTAGGTTATGTGTTTATTTATTTATTTATTTATTTATTTATATTTTTAATTATTTTAAGGTTTTATACTCTAATAGAGTTGGTTCATTAAGTTATAGTTTTTTATACCGTATTATTTATGGAGGTACTTGTTTGAAGAAAATAAAATTAATTCCAGTCGTAGATACCTACACGTACGCTTAAATTATTTCATTTGGACATTAATTGGATTCCACCAGTAAGGAATATGGATAATATAACATAAATATATAGTTTTAGCACAGAGTTATTATTCAAAACAGATGTTTTTACAAGTTATAAAAGTAATTTTAAAAAACCGACTTTAAAATCGTACAATTTATAAGGAACTACCCCTGAGGTACCCCCTTACTAACAAAAAAATAATCATAGAAATCGGAAAAGGTGATAAAAAATTATCGCTAAACATACATAAAAAATGAAGAGTTTGAGGATTTTTTAATGGACAATTATTAGATTTTGACAAAATTTATATGGGACTACCCCTGAAGTACCCCCTTTCTAACAAAAAAAGAATCATTGAAATCGGATACCTTGTTAAAGAATTATCGCTGAACATACATAAAAAAATATTACGACGAATTGAGAACCTTCTCCTTTTTTGAAGTCGGTTAAAAACTGCACCGAAAGTTGTACATAATTTTCATATTCTGGTTGGAAAGGTGAGTTTATTCTATTTACTCAGGTTGAACTTGTCTGGTAATTTAAATATACAATCATTAAATTTATCATTTGGCAACTATGTCAATTTCCGAAATCAAATTGCCTACTTATTTTTTGTTGTAAATCTTTAATAGTATATTATGCAACGATCATGTAATGATGGTTATTAATACACGAGCATTAACCGGGATACGAAACGAGCCAAAGGCGAGTTTCGTATTGTTTATGCGAGTGTTTTAATAACCATTACATGAGAGTTGCATACGCTATTTTTTCTACACCCGATAAATAATCAAGACCTATAAATATTATATTTATATTGGTATTGAACACAATAACAGTAATTACTCGTATTTCTATAAAAAATTCTACAAAATTGTAATTAATGGTATTACTTCAGGTATTGGTATTTCCCTAGATTTTTGCGGTAAAATATTTTGTACTGTATTTTCTGCTTTCTCCGATATGTGTGGAGGAGTCTTCTATATCGCTAATATCAGACATTTTAATATTATAATTATCGAAGTTTAGCTACCTACGAAAATTTAATACGTTTTGACAACTAAAATAATTACATAGGAACCTAGGACAAACGTCAAACAGCATGCTTGATTGAAAAATTGTAGGTTTCTATTGATTAAAAATCTGTATCGTAATGAAAAATCTGTATCATAATGGGTATCATTATGAAACGGATTATGGGCATATAAGTGCATTATTATAATACGGGTGTAGAAAAAATACTTTTTGGAAATTTTTATTAGTAATTAGTTTACATAAATTGATTCTTTTCTGTAATATAATTTTTTATTTCAGGTAAAACATCCATCGAGGGAATGCTCATTTTAGGTACATGCATGGCTGGTAACAGTGAAGTTTATAGTCCATGTTGCTGTTGTATATGCCAATTAGGAAAATTAGACATTTCATGTACCTGCCGATGTTTTTTGTATATAGGGCATTAAAAAATAAATAATAATAAAAGCATGACATTTTATTTTCTAAATTACTATATTAACAAAATAAATTAAATATAATTATGTTAAAAAGTACCTACTTAAAAATACTTTGTAAAAAAATAAGTAAAGCATTAGATAGGGATTATTTTAACAATTTTCGTTTTTGTAATAAAACTTTATCATTTCTTACCTCACAGCGAGAAGCCTGTAAATTTTAATAGGCATAACAGCAATTTTTTATTATTTTTAATGTAGAATAACAGTAAAATTGTAGTAAAAATAAAACAATAATGTTATTAAAAAAGTGAAATACCATATTTTATATTTATTAAAAATTAGAAAAGCGAAATAGAACTTGTTTGGTGGGCTGGTTTTCTATATTTTATTTTTTAAATAGGAATGGAACTGTTTACATGATTTGTTCATGTTATGCTTGGCTTTCAATACTGATACTTCAAATTAAGTTTTTTCACTAGCCCACATTTATATGAGATAACACTCTTTTTTGATAAAATGCTTTGCATCAGATCACGTTTTCTTTTAAAGTGAGATATTCTTGCATTCTTTGGGGACAATGGTACACATAACTTGAAAATGGGTTTGTCTCGCCTAAAGCGGGACGTATGATGTTAGGTATGACTCAAAAATAAAAGTTTACTTTAGGTTGATTTTCATTTTTATCTCTTCCTCCTTTTTTCGACTCAATTTTTTCTGTCAATATCACACTTTAGTTTTGAACTGGTTTGAGACACATGCTTCATGTTCTGGGCGCTGGAGTTCAGTTTAAATGATTACTAACTTCGAAGGAACTAGGTTTCCCTAAAAATAAAATCATACTTGATGTCTCTATTATTATTATTATACACTTTTGCGAATCCTTGTTACATGTAAAAATATGACTTATGTATGTTATTAGTATCATGAGTTCCTTTACTTTAATTTATCGGTGCAGACCAGACAGTTGATTAAACACAATATATAGCATTCTCATTCTGCTCTTCAAAGTATGATCTAGTTACAGTAGGTTTTAATTTGTGTGTCAAAAAAATGTACCTGTAATAAAATGACTGATACAAACTCTGAATAGTCTAAGTATGTGGAATTCAAGATCCATGGACGCAATAAAAAATTAAACATAGTGGCTTTACAACCCAAAATAATACAATTTTCAGGTTTTTTTCGCCGTAAAATTGTCAAAACCACTTTCAGAAGGGTACTTATATAAACTCTAATTCACTCTACAAATCAATTCAACTCAACATTTATTAAAAAATACTAAGGAAAACAATTCACATAACCTTCTATTTGCCAACCAAATGTCATTCACATTTTTTGACAGGTTTGAAGATGAGAAACAAATCGTAAACAAAAATGAACGTTCAGAGTCATACCAACCGCTTATGAAACGTGTTTCTCTGCTTTTATAACATGTTTGACGACGATGAACACAGCCGATGGGTAGGTAGTGGAAACAATAAAAAAGAGAATAGGCGTGTTCCTCGTCGTCAAACATGTTGTAATGCTGAGTAATCGGTGACGGTGAACTGTCAACCGCTTCATCGCTTTTCGAATCATGATCAATAATCATAAAAGCGCAAATTTACTATGCCTTTATGCTCCAAAATATGTTAATTCCCATAAACATACAAACATATTCGTCAAACAAAAATAATAGAAAAACATGTATAGAATTTCTAAAAGAATATCTAAATTTTCTACGAAACATGAAACAATACTAATAATTAAAAAATCGTATTAATATAATGGCTAATCACCTAGTGGTCGACGCCAATAAAAAAATAACAATAATTAATAATAATAATAATAATTAATAATAATAATAATAATAATAATAATAATAATAATAATAATAATAATAATAATAATAATAATAATAATAATAATAATAATAATAATAATAATAATAATAATAATAATAATAATAATAATAATAATAATAATAATAATAATAATAATAATAATAATAATAATAATAATAATAATAATAATAATAATAATAATAATAATAATAATAATAATAATAATAATAATAATAATAATAATAATAATAATAATAATAATAATAATAATAATAATAATAATAATAATAATAATAATAATAATAATAATAATAATAATAATAATAATAATAATAATAATAATAATAATAATAATAATAATAATAATAATAATAATAATAATAATAATAATAATAATAATAATAATAATAATAATAATAATAATAATAATAATAATAATAATAATAATAATAATAATAATAATAATAATAATAATAATAATAATAATAATAATAATAATAATAATAATAATAATAATAATAATAATAATAATAATAATAATAATAATAATAATAATAATAATAATAATAATAATAATAATAATAATAATAATAATAATAATAATAATAATAATAATAATAATAATAATAATAATAATAATAATAATAATAATAATAATAATAATAATAATAATAATAATAATAATAATAATAATAATAATAATAATAATAATAATAATAATAATAATAACCCCGCAGGGGGTAGTTATTTGTGTAATTACTTGTAACTACTTGGGGAGTGACACCCCCACGGACCCTAGTTACCTGGCAGTAGGTTTAAAATGCCGTATCCCCTGCGATAACGGGGACACCCATGTAATTGGAGACAAGCAGTGACCTAGGAAACGTGCCGCTGCCTGGGGAGCGCCAGGGCATGTCTGGAGCCGACGCTGGACATGACAGCATGCGAACCGTCGGTAGCAGGGTGTTGAGGAGGCGGGCCCCTGCCCCTGTTACACAAGAAGCAACAGCCCAACAACTACGAGAAGTGGAAGCAATACATTCGGCAGAAGAACAAGAAGCCCCTCTACCTGCAGGCTCTCCCACCGTAAGGAGGACTGCCCGTAGGAGACCTCGCACTGAACGAATCAAGTGGAGCCGCGAACTAAACATTGATGTGATGCGAGCTTACTACTACGTAAATCAGTGCGATGACAACCCACTTTCAGGATGGAGACATTCCCTCCATTGTGAATTTACCAGAAGACACCCAGAATTACAATTAACTGAGCAGAATATCGCTGATCGCAAGAACTTCATAATTAGGAAAGGCTTTTTGACACACACGGAGCTAGCATGTATCAGACGAGAGGTAGGCAACCTTATTAACCAAGAACAGGTGGTTCAAAACGATTTGGAACAGAGGCCAGAACACCTAGCTCAACAAGAAGAACTAATAACTCCGCAGGAGGACCTGATCAACAGAAGACGACGTCACTCTGTTACCCAACAACGAATGGCTGAAAAATTCTACAGCCTTTTATCCCACTATCAGGATACTGATCCTTTAATACGTCCAGCTTTACCTAAGTTGAAGAGCATCTTCAAGGCCAATTATAACATCAAAATGACGAATGAAATAGTAAAGGAGTACCTAACGACCCCACGAACACTAGAAGAGGTGCACCTGGCTATCTATTGTGCTGCAGTATTTATTTTAGAACTTAATGGTCAGGAAACCTATATGCCAGGATCTAATAAGGTAATGAAAAACCAGAGCCCTGCTTGGAGAAGACGTCTGGAACAAGATATTGACAAACTTCGAGCAAAAGCAGATATTTTAGGTGAATACTTAAAGAATAATCGGTCAAAGAAAATCATCAAGAAAGTAACAACAATAGCCAATCGAGCAATGATACATTTAGATGCTCCACAACACCAACATGAGATTGTAGAACTAAGAGACCGTTTTAGACAACAAGCTAAAGCCAAAGGTGCTCGGCTACATCGATATAACGAACTAACTAAAAGAAAACAACAAAATGCTGACTTCATTACTAATAGGAAAAAATTCTTTAGAAACCTAGAAACATCAGAGAATCAAAGCCGAGAACAAATCCCAACCAATAACGAAGAATTTTGCAACTACTGGAGCTCTATCTGGTCAGAGCCAGTACAGTATAATAGAGATGCAGAATGGGTAGCGGAAATCGAACAACACTCTGCGGAAATCGTAGAAATGGGATTTGAACGATTTACTGTTGATAATATTTCCTAGAGCATTAGAAACACAAGCAATTGGAAGTCACCGGGACCAGACCGACTTCACAATTTTTGGATTAAAAATCAACCGGCCTGCTTTCCAAGTTTGGCGCGTTGTTTCACGGAGGCACTAGATGACCCCTCAAAGTTTCCTAACTTTCTCACTGAGGGAAATACCTTCATGTTATTTAAGAACGGTGACCCTAGTAAACCCAAGAACTACAGGCCTATAACATGTCTATCAGTTGTATATAAACTTTTTACATCACTTATCAACAATAGCATATATCAGCACTGTACCGCAAACAATATATTGCAAGAAGAGCAAAAAGGGTGTATTAGAAATTCAGCCGGATGCAAACATCAACTTTCCATTGACGCAGTGGCTGTTAAACAAGTTCAGATTAAAAAAAGGAATCTTAACATCTGCTATATAGACTAGCGTAAGGCCTTTGACTCGGTTCCTCACGACTGGCTTGTAAAAGTGCTGGAAATTTACAAAATATGCCCCAAAATAAGGGTGGTGCTCGAACATCTCATGGGTACCTGGAGAACTAATATGAATAACAAGAACGCTGGTAATGTACGAATATCAAGAGGGATATTCCAAGGAGACTCCCTATCGCCTGTATGGTTCTGCCTAGCATTGAACCCTATATCTACTCTCCTGAATAAAACAAATATCGGGTATAGACTCAATTTGAAAAATAGGCGAAAATTATCTCATCTTTTATATATGGACGACCTTAAACTCTTCTCTGAAAATGAGAATGGTCTACAATCCCTTATTAACACAGTATCTACATTCAGTAATGACATAGGCATGTCCTTTGGGCTTGATAAATGTGCCATCATTAACATTAAAAAGGGCAAAGTAGAAAACCAAGAAACGTCATTCAATAATATTGAAAATCTACCTCCAGATGAAACTTATAAGTACTTGGGAACACCACAAAACCAGCGTATAGACCACACGCAACTTAAAAAAGTATTCACGGAAAAATACAAAAAGAGAGTACTAAAAATTTTAAATACAAAGCTGTCAGCGAAGAATCAGATTGGCGCTCTAAATTCATGGGCAGTACCTGTCTTGACGTACACATTTGGCATCCTGAAATGGTCCGATGCTGATCTAAATGAGCTTGATCGCCTAACCCGACGTCTAATGACCAAATTCCGATGTCTACACCCTAATGCATCGGTCAAGAGAATATATCTCCCCCGAAAAAACGGTGGCCGAGGAATGGTTAACATTTATAAACTATGCAGGACACAGGAGGTAAAACTAAGACAGCGATTGCTTGAGTCGGAAGATAGTCTAATGAGGTTAGCTACCCAAGAAGATCGAGGGTATACACCTCTTAACTTACAGCACCATCATCTTTTGTTTGATATAAGCACAAGACAAGAAGATCAAGAAACATGGGCGGAACGAGCTCTGCACGGAAAATTTCCAAAGAGTCTGGAGTTAGATAACATCGATAAGGCACCATCATTGGCTTGGCTTGACGCTTGTTATCTATATCCGGAAAATAATGATAATAATAATAATAATAATAATAATAATAATAATAATAATAATAATAATAATAATAATAATAATAATAATAATAATAATAATAATAATAATAATAATAATAATAATAATAATAATAATAATAATAATAATAATAATAATAATAATAATAATAATAATAATAATAATAATAATAATAATAATAATAATAATAATAATAATAATAATAATAATAATAATAATAATAATAATAATAATAATAATAATAATAATAATAATAATAATAATAATAATAATAATAATAATAATAATAATAATAATAATAATAATAATAATAATAATAATAATAATAATAATAATAATAATAATAATAATAATAATAATAATAATAATAATAATAATAATAATAATAATAATAATAATAATAATAATAATAATAATAATAATAATAATAATAATAATAATAATAATAATAATAATAATAATAATAATAATAATAATAATAATAATAATAATAATAATAATAATAATAATAATAAATCTCCCTAATTCACCCCCTTACAAGTGAATTTTAACCCCAAAATCTGATCTTGTGAGGGAAAAGGAACGGCTATTATTATTATTATTATTATTATTTGCCGTGGCGCTTTGGGGCGACTTAAAGATGATCAATAGTGCCATTTGACTTACAGGTAAGGAAAACCTCACCCACCATCATCGAGACGGTAATGCATGGCGATTTTATAATCTGCATGTCATATCAGAAATTGAATTTCTATTAATACGGCACACATCAAATCCTATACCGAACCATGCAATTTAATTAAAAATCCACATGGTCTGGCGTAGGATTCGAAACCCGTCTGTCTTTGACCAGAAACTTGCCTATAAATGAATATAAACGCGTCAGACCGCTACACCACCACCGACCCGATGGTACGGTAAATCGTCACAACTGTCGTTATTGGTCCGATTCAAATCCCAGAATATTTCATAAAGTGCATACGCAACATATGGAAAAACTGAATGTTTGGGCTGGCATTTTTGGTAAGCGTATAATGGGCCCCTTTTTTTATCAGAAACTTTAACCGCCGAAATGTATCTGGAATTATTAGAAAACGCTATTTATCCAGCTTTACTAGAGTTGATTTGAGAATGACGATCAGTACATAGCAAACAACTTAATTTTCCAGCACGGTGCGCCACTGTTCGTCAGTATTTAGATCAAACGTTTCTAGTTTCCAGGATCGGAAGAAGAGGAAGTATTGAGTGGTCCCCACAGTCTCCGGATCTAAGCCCGTTGGATTTTTTATGGGGCCACTTAAAAACTAAAATTTATGCCACCCAGCCAACTAGAAAATCTGCGACAACGGATAATTGATAAATGTCATCAAATCACCCCATAGATGCTTCAACATCTCCGAGAGCATTTTGAACAAAACCCTATTATTGCATGGAGGCCCAGGGTCAGCATTTCTAGCATTTATACTTGAGTAACTGGTAAGCTTTTACAGAAAATAAAAATCGTTAAAAGATCATGGCTAGGAAGACAGTAGCGATTTAAAACTCGGGGGTTACAATCTATGTAAAAATACCTTCAAAATACCAGTGGTGGCTGTACCGACCATAGAGGGTTGTCAGATATCCCGTTTTAGGTAGGAGCCTCCAGCCTATCCAGCAATTGGACAGTTGACAATACATTTTTTTTTTCAAGAAAATTTTCATAAAATCAACTTCAAAATAGTTTTTTAAAAAAACGGTGGTGCCTTTAACTGAGGTGTGGAGGGTGGTGGGGATAGCCCCCATTTTCCGTATAGAAGTCAGGCACCCAAAGCAATTTTTGAATTCTGGCGCCTATGCATGTCTATCAGTGGTATATAAACTTTTCCCCTCATTTATCAACAATAGCATATATCTGCACTGTACCACAAACAATATATTGCAAGAAAAGCAAAAGGGGTGTATTCGAAATTCAGCCGGATGCAAACATCAACTTTCTATTGACGCAGTGGCTGTTAAACAAGTCCAGATTAAAAAAAAAAGAAATCTAAACATCTGCTGTATAGATTACAGTAAGACCTTTGACTCGGTTCCTCACAACTGGCTTGTAAAAGTGCTTGAAATCTACAAAATATGCCCCAAAATAAGGGTGGTGCTTTAACATCTCATGGGTACCTGGAGAACCAATATTTTGATAATTAACAAGAACGCTGGTAATGTACGAATATCAAGAAGGATATTCCAAGGAGACTCCCTATCGCCAGTATGGTTCTGCCTAGCATTGAACCCTATATCCACTCTCCTAAATAATACAAATATCGGGTATAGACTCAATTTGAAAAACATCTTTTATATATGGATGAACTTAAATTCTTCTCTGAAAATGTGTACGGTCTACAATCCCTTATTAATACAGTAACTACATTCAGTAATGACATAGGCATGTCCTTTGGGCTTGATAAATGTGCCATCATTAACATTAAAAAGGGCAAAGTAGAAAACCAAGAAACGCCATTCAATAATATTGAAAATCTACCGCCAGAGGAAACTTGGGAACACCACAAAACTAGCGTATAGATCACACGCAACTTAAAAAAGTATTCACGGAAAAATACAAAAATAGAGTACTGAAAATTTTAAATACAAAGCTGTCAGCGAAGAATCAGATTGTCGCCCTAAGTTCATGGGCAGTACCTGTCCTGACTTATACATATGGCACCCTAAAATGGTCCGATGCTAATCTAAATGAGCTTGATCGCCTAACCCGACGTATAATGACCAAATTCCCATGTCTACATCAGTCAAGAGAATATATCTCCCCCAAAAGAACGGTGGCCAAAGAATGGTGAACATTAATAAACTATGCAGGACACAGGAGGTAAAACTAAGACAGCGATTGCTTGAGTCGGAAGATAGTCTAATGAGGTTAGCTACCCAAGAAGATTGAGGGTA